AATGTATACCCAATACAACACAGTGAGTTATTAACTTTGAGAGCCCAAGTGATGTGCACCTAATACAAGTCACTGATAACCATGTGCTATGTTGCTCTTTCCAAAACTTGAATTTCAATTCTTACATGACTTTCTATCTAACATAATGCATTATGTTATTACCAAGGAACATTGACAAATTGTTTGACTTCAGAGATATGATGTCAATAAACCAAACGATGTTCAGCAAATTTCATTACAGCTTAATGCAAGGCTCATGTGCATCTAAACTGGTATTGTTATGATATTATACAACTTTTTGCCAAATTATAACGCTTAAAGGCTGATTATGCACAAGACATTTATGTAACTATATACATTGAAAGCTGTTTATTTTTGGTGTGATCCTCTAAGTTATAGTTTTCTAAAAGGTTACTCACTAGCCAGTTACCTAAACCAATTTTAATGCTTCTGTTGCTTTTTGGCAATGAAAAGTTACAGTGATTTAGTATTTTGTATGAAAGTCAAAATAATATTTGATTTACATTTTGCTACTTTTATGAGAAATAATTTCACATTCAGCACTAATTTCTTAAGGTACTGAGTTATAAGCATCTAACAATTCCTCTAAAACCCTCATTTAAATGTTTTATAAAACTCATATTTTCCCTTCCTAAGTTCATGTCTCGGGAATAACATACCTTTAATAGACTTTAACAATGACAGTTCATGACAATAAGCATAACTCTTTCACCTTTTAAATTTTGTTAACTATCAAAAATATCTCTTGATAAATATATCATGTCGAAGATGATAATTTCTTCATAAAAATGTGTTTGATTTTCTTGTAATGCATTGCATATTTTACAAGACTCAATTTGAAAGACAGGTTACTTTATTGAATAAACCCTATAATACAACCTTATATCAACCAAGTATTTGTTAGGTCAACAAAACAGAACATATTCCTTCCAATTCAGTTTGAGAATATTATGATGAATGGACAGATTTCAAATTGGTAATCAATCAAACACAGAAATTGAAGAGCTCTTCAGCAATACACTTCACAAGGCTTTATACAATTTTGAGAAAATAGGCTTCTTTGAACTGGCACTTTTTTTTATCTTGTAAAGAACTAGAGTAGTCATTCCCTAAACATTACTGTAATATTTTGCTATATTATCAAATATGAAAAAGAATTCACCAAACAGTAACTGTAAGGTTTTGCTATATTATAAAGTATAAAGAAGAATTCACTGAGCATATGACGAACAAATCATACATAACAAATTATACAAGAGCCACCGCCGGGCGGGGGCAACGCTCGACTTTTTACTTTTTCTAAACGCAAACATAGAAAGGTTTGAACATTATATTGATGTTTCCTTTTTATAAATTTAGTTGGTCTGTCTTGTCACATTAGTTTTGTTTATATATTTTGTATATATATGAATAGAAACATTAAGCATATTTCTAAAAATAGCAACAGTACGCAATTTCTAAAAATAGCAACAATGACGCAATTTCTAAAAATAGCAACAATGAAGCAATTTCTAAAAATAGAAAAAATGACGCAATTTCTAAAAATAGAAAAAATGACGCAATTTCTAAAAATAGAAAAAAATGACGCAATTTCTAAAAATAGAAACAATGACGCAATTTCTAAAAATAGAAAAAAAATGACGCAATTTCTAAAAATAGAAAAAAATGACGCAATTACTAAAAATAGCAACAATGACACAATTTCTAAAAATAGAAAAAATGACGCAATTTCTAAAAATAGAAAAAAATGACGCAATTTCTAAAAATAGAAAAACATGACGCAATTTCTAAAAATAGAAAAAATGACGCAATTTCTAAAAATAGAGCAAAAATGACGCAATTTCTAAAAATAGAACAAAAATGACGCAATTTCTAAAAATAGAAACAATGACGCAATTTCTAAAAATAGAACAAAAATGACGCAATTTCTAAAAATAGAAAAAATTGACGCAAATTCTAAAAATAGCAACAATGACGCAATTTCTAAAAATAGAAAAAAATGACGCAAATTCTAAAAATAGCAACAATGATGCAATTTCTAAAAATAGAAAAAATGAAGCAATTTCTAAAAATAGAAAAACATGACGCAATTATATACATGTATATATATGTATATATATATATATATATATATATATATATATATATATATATATTTGATATATATATATTTGATATATATATATCTATATATGTATATATATATATATATATACATGCATATATTATACAAATGTGGACTTTTTAGCTGTTGAATATGATGTGATATGTACTGAAAAAATTAATATTGACCGAGGCGATAGCCGAGGTCAATATTAATTTTTCAGTACATATCACATCATATTCAACAGCTAAAAAGTACATATCTGTTTTATTATATAATTTATTAATAGCTTTTATATGGCTTATCAAATCTGCCATTGCATATGACGGAAATCATTATTTTTCAGCTTGTCTACTGTTTCAATAATTTGGCCCTTTCCATTGGCATGCTAATCCCTATTTTTCTTAAAAATGAAAAACGGTAACTAAAATAGACTAATTTGACTCTGATGTACACCCAACTCAACATTTTTTTCAGAATAATAACAACAAACTTGGCGTTACGTCATGTCAAAGTCTCGTGTCTTTTAGGGATTTCCAGAAAATCTATTTTTAGAAGAATAACCGGTGAATATACTCTGAAAATCTATTTTTAGGAAAAAAACAGTGAATATACTCTGATATTGACCTGTTATTTTTTACAAAAAGTTGCTTGTTAGCCAATCAGGGAAAGGCATTTCAAAGCTATTTATAGATTATATAATAAATATATATATTTATATATATATATACCTGCATACCATCATTGGGTTTGATAAACAACAAGGTCTGGTCCTTAAGAATGTTCTGTTATAATATGAAGTTTATCCCTTCAAAAATAGCAAAGTTACAGTCAGTTACTGCCAAAACAATGAAAATTTCAATAATTTGACCTTCAAAGGCAATGTCATTAATGAGTGAAGGTCAAGGTCTTTCGGTATATTTTTAACAGTTATCTTTGAAGATTATTATGTTCAAGTTTGAAGACAATCCATTCAAAAATAACAAAGTTACAGCCAATAATAGCCAAAAAAATGAAAATTTCAATAATTTGACCTTCAAAGTCAAGGTCATTGATGAGTGAATGTCAAGGTCTGACTGGTTATTTTTAAGGGATATCCTTGAAGAATATTATGTTCAAGTTTGAAGACAATCCATTCAAAAATAACAAAGTAACAGCCAATAACAGCATGAACAAGCAAAAATTGGACTTTTAACCTTGAAGGTCAAGGTCATTTATGGATGAAGGTCAAGGTTAATGTGGTCTACTGAAAGGTCTTGTCCCAAGGGTTGTTGTGGCCAAGTATGAAGACAATACACCAAGAAATAAAAAAGTTATGATCCAGGTACAAGTTTTCGGACGGCAACGGCAACGGAGACGGCAACGGCAACGCCGACCTGACTATAACAATACCTCTACTTTTTTTTTCAAAAAAAAAAAAAGTCGAGCTAATAAAATGGAATTGTTTTTGAAATGGACATTCATTTGGCATTTAATATACCATTAGTATACATAATATAGCATTATTAATACACATATAATTACATATGAAACAGGGGGTCAAATTGTTACAAAAATATGAGCATTTACTTAAGTGGTGAATATTAATAATGATGGGTTGGGAACAAAAATGATATGAAAAGTCATTGACCTTCACCTTGAATATGATCTAAACATTACCCTTCCACACAAGCAGATCTTTAAGAATCTTTCACCACTCAGCAATGTAGACCATTTAGTTGACAATAAGATTTTATCTTACATAATGGTACACAATAATAGAAAACTAATTTTAGAATTTGATAAAAGCTTATTTTCAGACCACCTTGCCTTTAATTAAATGCAAATTAGGTTTTTTCATCAGATATGACACAAATCAAACATAAACAACCCTTATTTAGAATGAACCCTTTTGATAAAAATAGATCAAACAGTCTATAAATGGTTTTCATTGACAAATTTGCAGGCTAGGCATATTTATTTCAAGCTCCAAAAACAATAAACTCGGGTTTCTAATTGATAATAATCATGCTATATAAGGTAATTGATATATTTCTGATTGATTGGATTTTCATGATACATGAGTCTTTAGACAGTCCAATTAATGAGCAAATAAATAGCTTGATGATCCTAATAGAAGGTAATGTATTATAGTATGTCAGGGTATATCACAAACAATACCCCACATCGAGAGACTTTAAAACAAAGGAATAAATGCACAACAGGACAACAATAACATAACTTTAATTGCCATTCACACGGTAAGTCAAAAATGTAGACATCCATTAAGAAATGGTTTGTGGAATAGGACAATTTCTATTCCATACATTTCTAATACAAAACAGTGCTGTAAAATTGTAAAGCAAATTTTTTTTTTTTTCGTTTTAGCTTATAAAGTCAATTTTAAAGATGCCTTTTTCTAAAATTTAAAGGGACACCACTGCAGAGCTTTTTTGATATGACTGGGCTGATAATAGTTTTTCGAGATTTGTGTACAAATAGATTTAGGTCTAATCCAATAACTTGTGTGCAAATTTTTAGCTCATTTCCTCATCCTGTTTTTCCAGAATAATCATTTTTATTGCGGAAAAAAGCCCTAAAATTTACGCAATGCTTTTTTCTCAAATCTGGCCAACAATCACATAATCAAAATCGATTTTTAATGTAATTCTGAATATATTTCTGTGTTATCCTTTGCAGATTTTCCCCATATAATGTGCTTCACTTCATATTTGTAAGATTTTCAAATTTTATGTTTTATGCCTTTGTGGAGTTCCTTTAAAAGCCAAATGTTACAGTAAAGGAGATTAGATGCAACTTGGCTTAATTGGTCTGTTGCAATGCAATTAGCACTCAAGATGGTTGAAGATTGGTTTTTATGGCAATCCTTGAGCTGAAGTGACCTTGCTCTCAGACAAACATTTAAGGACTTACTTTGAATGAAAATTGGTTCCTTCAATATGACCCATCCATACCCATAGACTGTGTCGCTTACATGATAAGTGGCTGTTGGATTATTGAAGATGATCTGGAACTTTTCCAGCCGCGACTCCATTACTCCCCCGCTACATGAGCTTGTCCTGCAAGTAAACAATTAATTATGTAGACCATCCAATTACTGAATAAGACCCGTTCAATAAATAATGTGATACAATCAGTTTTACTTAGACATTAAATTAGATCAAAAATATTCTGATAATACCCAATAATATAGTTATTCAATGAGGAAAACAATAATATTCCCTTATGTGTCTTTTGACTAAATTAAGGTCAGTAAATAATCTGACCAATTACCTAAGTACCAATAAATTACATGTACCCCTCCTCCACCACCCCACCCCACCCCTCTAAATTCAGATGATTCGTGAAATTAGAAATTATCCACATTCAAAACATGAAATCTTTAATACCTCAAAGCTGACATATCCATGCTATTGGTACACTATTCTAAAGAAAAAAATGGGTAAGAAAAATTAACCACTTAAAAATCTTTAGAAAAAACTTTCTTGAATTTAAAGCTTTAATAACAGATTTTTTTTAACCAATAAAACTTTACTCATTTGCATAACTGTGGTAACAACTTTGTTTATAAAATATAAAAAGTTAAAAGATTAAAAAGATTCATTATAATAAAAGCAAATATACATGTATATCAAATACAATTAAAGCAACACTTCCTCAAAAAGTTTAGTCTTCCAACTTCCAATCAACATGTTTCAGTTTTCATTAAAATAAGTTTTTATCCTTCCTGAGTGCCTGTAAACAGTGTAAACTTAACTTTGAAAATAAAGTCAAACAAGTATTTGTTGACCTTTACGACCTATCAAAGATTAATCTATAATAATTTCCTGGTAAAGGTTAGAATATAATCCACTTTGTTCAAACTCAAAGCTGTAACATATAGGTCTAACAAGGTCAGATATCTGGTGTGAACATGGCTCAGGTGGCCTTTATCTCTAACATCTGAACAATGGTCCTATTCCTACCATATGTCACAGAATTTACTGCCATACTTCACTAGCCACGAATAAACAACCTCTAAAACTTTGTCAATTCAATTCTCCTGGATACTGATAAAGAAATTTCTTGGCTGATCTGTGGAGTTAAATCAAGCTTAGATGGCATACAATAGCTAGAAAATATCCATCAGACAGTTAAAAAGGCCTACAATTTGACAGATCTCTGACCAATTCTAAGCAAAAGAAATAAATCACAGTTCCTTTGGGGATAATTGGTGTGGTTAGGTTCTGTTAGTTACATCTTTGGGCCAATTAACTTACACAAACCAGTCTAGTGATAATTGACAAACAACCAGACTAATAGAATAATTATAAGATCAATGTTTCCTCATTATAATGCCAATCACTGTCAATTATCAGTAAATTAGGTTGTAGCAAAATTATGTTTTAATTTTCATCCTGAAATTACATTGCCAGGAATATATTTCTAGAAGCTTTGTAATAAAATTGCATTATTTTATGTTGTTATTTATTTCTTTAAATTTCAAGAATGTTTCTCCCTTTGCAAATGACAAAAGAAATAAAATAATATGACACGGAGGAGTACTTTATTATAGGATAAAGTATTTGTGCAGTAAACATTATCAACTTGTCGACTGGAGATTGCAATGACCTAATAATACTTTTTTAATAATAACAGAAAGTGTAAAATGATTTTTCTTTTTCAAACTTAAAACTAGTATATAACAGCATGTGCTATGTTATAAGGCACTACATAACACTTATTGGTTACAATCATGACCGAATGTCTGACACTGCTTCCAGGTTACAAAGCACCAATATTTGTTTATTTGTTTTATTTCTGTGTTTTGTTTTTTGTTGTTGTTTTTTTTTCCAACATTTTTTTGGTCATTATTATCTCGGTGGTCGATCCACCTAACCAGCTTACCTGGATAACTTACCAGTAATTACCAAACTCTCTGCAAGTGGCCAACAACTAACGAATCAGGAGGGAGAGACAAATGACTATAAGAATCAATGTCTCGGTATCAGTCAATGTCACAGAGACATTTTAACATAAATACATGTTGAAAATTCAATTAAAATCACTTCCAATTTAGTTAATTTTACAACAAATCTAGAATGCCAATAACGTACATTGACATTATAGCACTACTTAAAGACAGAAATATGTCAGCCGTTGAAAAATCTAAACCGAAAATCTGGCCAATATTTGAGGAATGAATTGTCAGACCAATACGGACACATTGTCCAGTGTCTGCCAGGAATTCTCAATAATGTCAACACAATTGCCTTGGAAACAGACAGGGTGAGTTTTTCAGTAGTTTATAATATACCTTAAGTGACATACAGACAAATTAAATGAATATTTTGTGTGAAAATATGGACAAAGGCAAACAACACAGAAAACACAAGATTTCACCATCACACCATACTGTTGTTTGGCCTGAAGACTTTATAATCTATAAAAATATAAAACTGATATAAGAAAAAAGAAACACTTTTGTACAAAAAAACAACCATTATATACATTTCTTAAACGAAAACATTCATTGAGCTTCCTTAACTTTATCACAAGCAGAAACCTTGTTTTTTCTGAAAAAAATATTTTGTAATCAGTTTAACTTTGATAGAGACACTGCCTTAACTGGTTAAAACCATATCAGAAATTTATTTCCCAAGAAGAAAATGTAGATAACATTGTAAGAGAGTAATTTTCCATAACCGAACAACTTAAATCTATTTTAACTGTTGCTGAGCATGCTTAAAATACTAAAAACAAGAGCTGTCACAGGAGACAGCGAAGCTCGACTAATAAAATACTGGACGCAGTAAGGAGGACAAAACTATGAAAGAAAAATCAATTATGTATAATTATGTATTAAGTTATAGTAAAAAAATAATATTTGTTAACATAAATTCCAAGATCAAGGGGAATAATTCTAGAAATAGTCATGCTAGAGTTATGGACCTTGTCACACAACATTTGTGTAATGATAAGAAATATAAAAATATTTGAAGTTTGAAGTAGATACCTTAAAAAGTAAAGAAGTTATTATATTTCTTAAAGAAAATCCTAAGTTCAAAGAGAGATAAATGTGTAAATATTGCTTCAAGAGTTATGAACATTGTCACATAAAATGTAATTGATGATAAGGAATAAGTATTTGAAGTTTGAGGTAGATACCTTTAAAAATAAAAAAGTTATAATAAAAAATAACATTTTTCTAGTAAAAAAATCTAAGTTTATGGGGAGATAATTCTTGCAATATTGGTGCTAGAGTTATGAACCTTGTCACATAAGATGTGGATGATGATAACGTAAATATATTTGAAGTATGAAGTTGATCCCTTTAGAAATAAATAAGTAACAGTAAAAAATAATATTTTTTATGGAAAATTCTAAGTTCAAAGGGAGATAAATCTGAAAATATTGGTGCTAGAGTTATGAACCTTGTCACATAAGATGGGGATGATGATAACGTAAATATATTTGAAGTATGAGGTTGATCCCTTAAGAAATAAAGAAGAAACAGTAAGAAATAGTACTTTTTGAGGAAAATTCTAAGTTCAAGGGGCGATAAATCTGAAAATATTGGTGCTAGAGTTATGAACCTTAACACATAAGATGGGGATGATGATAAGGTACATCTAATATTTAAAGTATGAGTTTGATCCCTTAAGAAATAAAGAAGTAACAGTAAAAAATAGTATTTTTTAAGGAAAATTCTAAGTTCAAGGGAGATAAATCTGAAAATATTGGTGCTAGAGTTATGAACCTTGTCACATAAGATGTTGTTGATGATAAGGAACATATATTTGAAGTTTGAAGTTGATACCTTAAGAAATGACAAAGTTATAGTGAAAAATATTTTACTGCACCAAAACTTTAATCTAAAATCTGGACGCAGACGCCGACGCCGGGGCGAGTAGGACAGCTCTCCATATACTTCGTATAGTCGAGCTAAAAATGACAAAAAGGAAGTCTGATAAACATTTCATTTTTTTATTCAAGAATTTATTGCTTGATTCTCCCATTATATTCATCTATGAATGCCCAGATAAACATCATCAATCAGTCTATAACTTATGTGGGAGTGTATGTTTGTTGTCATGTACATATACTTCACGACGTGACATCATGCAATATTAGATAGTGAAGGAATATATTCAGAATAATAGAGGAAATTGGTACAAAAAACTCTGTTGGCTTTCTTTTCTAAAAGTTCAACATTTTGCCCAATTATAAACTGATCAATTTGCATTATAATTTATAAATTGAATTTTTATCAAATAGTTTATACTTATAAGTTCTATAATTAAGATGCAAAGAAATAATTCTTAATAATTTACTACATATGAATAAAGTTTTGACAAACATTTAGTTAAACAATTTTGTAAGAAAAAAGTTTATAAATAGTAATGAAAGATGTATTTAAATGGTATAATAAGCTATATTTAGATATTTAATTATTTCTTTCAGATGCATTTCAATCCTTAAATTGCATATTAAGACTTCACTTGAAGACATTTAAATTTAAACAACTTTACTTAAAATTATATTATTTCGTAATTGGATATAATTGATACGGATGAGTTGGTTACATCATAAGGAACTGTTATAAATTTCATTCATAAATTCATATTTCATTTTAACATCATACAACTCTATAAATCAGAGCAAGTCAATTTTTCTAATTACATTATTTACACAGTTTCATGATCAATCAGTTAATACCATATCAGAACTTTAAATGAACTTCTGACATTAACTGACCTTGTTTAACTTAATATCTCTGATTTACGTTTTTGCTGACGTCAGCAATAAATATTGACTGCCACGATACATAATAACAGGTGTCATGAATGAAATATTGAATTGTGCAAACAATCTCTCAGAAACTGGCAAGAAAAATTCACTGCCACATCAGCAAAATCTTTATCTAACATTCTACAACAATTATTGTTCTCTCATTAAACACTTTAACACAAAGCCAGAAAAAGCAAAATAAATGCACTTTTATAATAGTTTTATTGTCCCAATCACTACATCTGATTCTAGATATGAAAGAGACAGACTGGCCATTATCATCATACAT